CTCCAGACAACAAATAGACTAAGCAGATGAATAAAGGTGTGTGGAATTTCTGAGAACAGAAGCATCCTTTACCCACAGCTCTATTCATAATTCAAGAAAAGTGTTAATAAACTGAAGAGGGCTCAGAGAAAAGCTGTAACTAAAGGACTGTATAATTTATCTCTATCCTTAAAGGAAGGATCTCTGGCTGTTTATCTTACCAAAGAGAAGGGTGTGCTTCCTATGCAGCAGAAGAAAATTGAGAATAGAGGGATCCTCAATCTACTTTGCACAGACAAAATGAGATTGAGAATGAAGTCTGTAAATAAACACTAGAATGCTAATGCAGTTTTTAGTGAACATAGTTAACCACATGAAAAACTTCTGCAGAATTTTGGTCAGCTCCATGCCAGCAGCAATAGAAACAGGGATTTTTCTCAAGTATGTACTTTATACTTGTGGGAAGTGGGAATGAGAAATGTTCTGGGAAAATGTGTGACCCGATGTGCAAAATTTCAAACTGGAATCAGTGTGGTCTCTACCAGATTTTTAGTCTATGGCTGTATATTCTGTAACACCATGCTTGTCTTGTCATTCTTTTTAGTGAGTCAAGATCTTCATTCTAGATTATCTGTGTTAATTTTTTCTATATTGTAGATTCTGTAGGCTCAGGATTTTGAAATTTGTACATAGACTTGTTTCTGATAGATGAGCCACAGATAAAAGAAGTAAAATACAGGTACCTGAATTTGAACTAAGGGTGGTTTTACTATTACAGAGACAACAGATCATTAAATAGACTAGCAGAGCTTTTTATATAAGATGATATTTTAAAGTGCAAGCTCACAGGAAGTTATAGGTGCTATGATTAGCATGAACTTCTACCAGAATTAACAGAATAGAGACACCCCATGAACCAGTCTTGTCTGGAGTGAATTAATTATGGAGCAGTTGTGTTCAAGTCTTTGGTGAACTAGCAAAATAATTTTTGGATTTTGCTGGAAAATAATATTTTCTATTCAGAAACAATTTGAGAATAATAAATTAATCTAGGGAGCCCCTTCTAGCTGTAATTTCTCACACTGTAAGCCATTTCTAGGCTGCAATTCCTAACACTGTTATCAGCATTTTTAGCTAAGTTTAATGCTACAGCATGTACATTCAGCAAAATTGAAGCTGAAATGAGAATGAAGTATGTGGAAGTAAATCTTGTAGCTCTTCTATCTTCCTTTCCAGGGCAAAGATATCCTCATGACTTCAGTGCTTAACTGAGGAATATGCAATTAGAAAATTTTGTGTTTGTCTTTTTATTTTTGTCTTAAAAAAAAATTGTTTCTATACAACTCAGAAGTATATAATACATTTGTAATTTCATTATTTCCCATTTTATTCATACTAAGTAAATTTAATCATATAAGCTTTCAACTTCAATATAGAAATTGTGCTTTCTAAACTTTGTTTAAGTACCTAATGTGTGTATGACTGTATGTGTGCCTGTAATGTGGGGTTTTATGCACACAAACACACAGAAGGATGCAGGTAATTTGACATTTGGGATCTGCTCTGCAATACACATGGTGTGATAGATGCACTGTATATTTATATTTGTGAAAATGTGGTATGGTCTAGGGTCAAAGTGGGTCTTGTTTTCTTCCCACCCTGCCAGGCTCATTTAAAGACCCTTGAGGAAATTTTCCCTGCTGAAAAACAAGAGTCATGTTTTAATCTGCCACTAATAAGAAGTATTTTAAGTATCTTGAAGGAAGAAGGAGAAATAATTGGTAGGTCCTGTCCATATTCCAGATGCAGTTGAGTCTTACACATTCTGTCAGCCAGTCCTTCCCACTAGGCCATTGCTCCTGGATAATAGCCAGATGATAGTGTGCAATCACTGTCTGTGATGGTGGTTCCTTGTCTCTTGTGTCACTGGCCTTTACAATGTATTCATATGTAGAGCTTAATTTGGGATCTTTACACACTTGTTTCTAATAGAATGTAACGTAATTCACCTAACATAATGTCTAAAACTGGGATCCTTCAGAGCTGCTGGTAAAAACAGTTACAGTATTAATTACTCGAGAAAGCAAATATGGATTGGGTTTTTCTTTTATTAGATGCTATGGATGCTGGGATGAAAGATGGATGTTCCTTGAAAGAGTTTATGCTCATCATATATTGTCAACCAGGAGATTGTAGATGGACTTGATCTTTTCTGTACTAGAACACAAATCTCCAGCCTGGATGATGTAGTTGCTAGAAGATCTCACTTCAGCTGGGGAATTTGCAGCTGAGAAATCAACACATTCTTATTTTTAATACTGAGACAGCAAGAATGAACATAATAAAAGAAATTGGTAAAGTTAGTGACGCCCTAAACTGGCATAATTATCCTTTTATGGGTCTTCTAGTTTGATCTTTTTTTTTCCCAAACTTAATTATTACTGATCAAAATTATAGCAACAGGCAGAGTTTTATGCCCTTGTTCAGTTGTGCTTAATGTTTCTTAGCCTCAGAGGGGGATACGATTTCAAGTTATTGCCAGGCCATACCTGACCCAATTGCTAAAGATGTAATTGGTTATCTTTGGTATGTTTGGCTCCAAACATAATTTGGGGATCCTTTTTCCATAACATAATCTGTAGATTAACTCACCATCTACCCTATATTATGTTCTGTACAAATGCTTCTAATACTCAGTCTTGTTATGCAGGTTGATATGCAAATAAAGATTCAAGAAATTGAAGTCCAAAGCTCTGCAGCAAAAGTAAACAGAGTTGAAATCAAGCAATTTCTAATTTTTAGCTAACATTCGCTGAGAGATCTTTCACTGTTTGAGCATCTCCAGTCAACAGGAGCCAATATCCTCATGTTGTCCATAGCATGCACAGCTGCACCAATCAGATCTTTCCTTGCTCTGCAATCCCTCTTTTTGCTTAGCCTAGCTGGGTTCTTTGTCAATACAGCTGATTGCTATGGTTACAGACTGCCTGATGTAAGTTAGGTCTGAATAGGCTGTAAAAGAAAATATTTCACTCCAGATAGGTAAATATTAGCCTTTTCTTATTGGAATATTATATTAAATTTTATTTATTTATTTATTTGAAATAAATTTTATTTAGTTTTTTTTTTAATTTTAGTAAAAAAGTATTTTTTGCAACAGCCACTGCAGCGATCGTTTAACAATTAATGACTTTTAAACAAACAGCAAGACTTTGACAATGTGGAATATCTATGTTGCTCTTTGTCGTCTGTCACGATCTGTGAAGAACTGTGTACAGCCAGGCAAATATAGTAGAATATTATATTTTTTATAATTTTCATTCAGGTTTATGCTGTTGTTTCTTCATGTTTTGAAGGTGGGAATGTAGTTGGTTGGGATGAGGGAGCTGATTGATATCCATGTGTGCAGCATGGACATTGTGTTGCAGGACCTGGCAACAAATGAAAGAAAATAATCAGACTTCACATTCCTTGCAAAATCAAGACTGTAGTGGTCCATGGTGCATCCTTGCCAAATATATTTATTGCTTTAAACAACCCTGGTTGTTGCTTCTATGTTCTTGCATTCCTACATGTAAAATTTTCAGCAAGGGAACTCAGTTCATGTTCAGAGGTGGGGTAGTTAAAATAAAATATTTCAGTCCTGTCAACTGCCCCAAGTCATTCATTATTAAGGAAGCAAAGGAAACTGGTCCTCTTGTCCAGCCAAGCAACCCATTTTTATGGGTACAAAATGAGAGCTATGAAGACAGTTAGTAAAACATTTTATCAGGTCAATACTGGCCAGAGGGATGAACAATAAAGTCTGAAAAAGTATTCACATTCATCTTCAAGTACACTGCGCTAGTTCATTTACAAACTGTCCTGATTGATGTACAGCTCAAGTGACTTTCAAGTGATATATCATTTTAGTCAATATATTAATAGACACAGAACTATTTCTGCTTGCAAATTCTATAACTGCATTTTACACTGGGAAACAAGCAAATATTTTAAGATTTAACTCAAATTCTAGAATAAAGGAGAATTCTTAAAAATACTGGGATTCTTTTACTCAGGTTTTGTAGTCATGCTTTTGACATTGGTGAGTTCATGGGATTACATTGCCTTTTCATGTAACAGTGATAAGTCATTATGTCATACCTAAAAGAAGCTGTTAATTTGGGGAGTTTAAGTTCAGTTTTTAAGCTTGTGTTTGGGTGGATATGTATTTATATCTTTGGAAAAATAGTGCAACTTAAGTTGAAAATAGAGAGCAAGGTAAACAGTAGTCAGAAATTTCAGGTAAATCATAATGATTTTCTTAAACATATCTAGAACCTTTCAACTGTTCTACAGTGATGTACACCTCTAGACCTCTATGCTTCCCAAAACAGATGTCATTACACTCTTCCAGCTTTACTAAATGTCAGGTATTTGCACATTATATGCATGTCTTCAGCATAAGATTTAAATAAACATCAATTTCTTTAATTCTGAAATTGTGTTTGAATTATTTATAGGTATTTGTCCTTTCATTTTACTTAATTTGATCAACCAAACCAAATGGCATTCTGAAATCCACTAGGTTGCAAAACACTTGGTAATTTTATGGGCCTTATCCAAAGAGTAAGTGACAAATATTTTTACCTACACAGGTTTTGCTTAGGTCGGTTAGGAATTTTAATCCTTCTAATGTGAGGCTAAGCAAAGAACATGCAGTATGCTTTTCTTTTTACAAGTGTATCTTCAGGGGTCAACAAAAAGGAAGAGGAGTATAAGGACATTCCCAGAATATCAACTGCTATAAATCAGGGCTATATAACTAGACTACTGCATTCAGTATGTTACTTCAGGGCATAATTGTTTAGGTTGTGTGACTTTTAAAGTAAAATCAGATTATGTAATCTTACTAGAATTTAGCAGCTTTTATTAGATTAGTAGGAATTGCATGTTTCATTGAAACTTTACGCAGTTACAAATTAAACCACAGCTTTGAGATTCCTGGAAATTTCATAGAAAGGATATTGCCACGCTTAAAGAAATGTTATAGTTTTATTTTAAATGCAAAATTCAGAAGGCTTCATTTTTACACTTGCAGTATATCTCCCTCAATAGTATTGCATAGTATCACCACACAGGCACGCTTTCATCAGCAGATGCGATGGCTTTTATGAAGCATTTCGAAATCAGCTACCAGCCTCTGCAGCAGAAGATCTTTTAAATTATTCTCAAAAGAGTGCTAGGGAAAAAAACTACACTGAACAACAAAGCACAGAAGTTGGATCCAACAGCTAAATAATAGGTTTTAAATAGTATTGGGAGAAAGCCAGTATAGCAACTGTTTCTGGACAGAATTCATAATCTGTTTTATTCTGTGCTGAATGTCATAAACTACCTTTCTAATCATGCTCAAACGTGCTGCAAGCTCATTCAAGAACATAACATGCCTAAACAACAGTGCTATGGCACCTTGCAACTTAAATCTAGAGAAATGCTGAATGGCACTCTCTATAATTAATTATCTTGAAAAGATATACAAAAGCCTGAGTGCACACAAATTTTGATAGAAAGGATGCACAATGCACAGACTTTTTCCTATCCTGTCACAAGGGATGCCAGATATAGCAAACAGTGAAGATAAAGGATTATAAACCTTTGAATCCTGTGGCAAACTGGCCTGTGGTGTGTTCTGCATGTCATAGTGTTTAGAAGCAGCAGGAAGCAGAGTGCTACAGCTGCTGCTGTAGATGCTGCAATCTTCTCCTGTAAGTAGACTATAACTGTGCCATCTTTCAGGGGTGGATAAACGTCTATGACATCACTGAATAGGCTGAACAGAAAGTCTGGAGTCCCCAGTCCAAAGTAGGGCTAGGTTCAGGTTAAATTAAAAGGCTCAGTGATGTGTCCACTGGAGTTGAGTCTTCTAGGTTGAAGAGATCAACCTGTTTCAGTATTTCACCATCTGCATTATGTGACTTTTTAATTATATTTTATTGAAATTTCTCTTACCACAGTTTTTGTTCATTATTTGTCTTTGTTTTGCTCCCTTTGTCCTCTTTTCTCCAAAAATATAGGCTCCATCTCTACAGTAAACTTGCTGGCAACAAAAAAGCAGCAATTAATTTCTTTCCATTGCTCTTCTCTACTAGAAGTTTATCTGTGTTTTCTATGTATTACATAGCACAAATGCATGTTCAGGGAACACCTCAGTAAATGCCACAGCTCTTCCTCTGCACAGGCAGGGGAATATCCAGTGTGAGTCTATCTCCTCCTTCTGTCCTGATAGTAATGATCATCTTATCACATCATATCTCATGGGGCAGCCCTCTTTTTATTTACTAGAGTGAAATTAGATTTTGTACCCACAAAGGATTCAGGCCACCTGCAACAGGAATAACAGGTTTAGCCTAGCTACATCCTGGATGGCTCAGAATTTGATTATCAATCAAATTAAACTTGGAATTGCTTTTAGCCTAAGCTCAGTCAAAAAGTGAATAAAAAAGGTGAAGTTTAGGCTTTCCAGGTTTCTTATATATATAAAAAAAGGTCATCTCCAGGTCAGGAGATGTTCTGGTATGTTTATAAAAAGCATAGGTGGCAATCCAACTAAGCTGTCTGTAGAGATGCAGGCTGTGAACACAGGCATACAGACTGCTCAGGAGATATATTTTCTCTTACAGTTTGTCTTCTCTACAAGATCCTAATGGAAAATAGGTGCTTTTACCTGCACTTAAGTGTCTAAAACTAAGGAATCCATATCCAGGCTTATTTCCAAAGAGGATTAGTCCTTTGGGCAGAAATTTTATGTTGAGCAGGCAAAAACAACCAGTTGCTAAGTGAAGTCTTCAGAGGTTAAAACTGCCTGGGCAATACCATTTTTGCAACAATTACTGGAGTTTGTTTTTTTTTTTAATATGTCAGTCCAAACACAAAAAAATTTGGACATTATATTTTGCAAATGATTCATAGAAACAACTGAATATTACTATATGTAAGAAATAGTCAAAATCTGCATTTGAAAGGAGATGTTTAAAAATGGTTTTATACGAAGGAGAAGGAGTGTGATGAAACTATGTATAATTATTTGTGGCAAAAATACCATATATTTTCTCCTGTATTTATTCTGATGCCAATTCAGTCTGAATAAAATTAGCACTGCTGGCACTAACATATAGCAACCTCTGAGAGTGTTTGCATGATTGTCACCCCAATTATTAATAATCTTTTAGGTAAAGAACAAAAAGCGTGATTTTTTTTAATCCAATTATATATTTCTCCTTTTCTGAATAGTTAAATGAATAGTTCTTTCTAAAGGATTTTTTTTTCGAGCAATGAACAATAAGGCCATGTCTTCTCCAAGGTGTCACATTGATCCAGTTTGTTCTGTCTAATTGCATTGATTTAATGTTATTGAACTGAAAACTCTTACTACCACTGTAATGCAGTTTTAAGGTGGATTCCTTTGAAATTGATACATCCACATGTATTGGTTTATATCTTTTCTTGTATTATATCATGTGCAGCCTATCACAAAGTATAAACTAGCAGATCAAGGAGGCTTCAACTGGCAGTAAAAAAAATCACAAACTCCAGTAGGCCTTTCCAAGTAGCCATTAGCTTGGCAGCATTGCATGTACCACATAGAATACTGAAAATATAAAGAAGATTGCCTGAAGTGCAATCTACCCTGCATGAAGTGTTATAAGGCCACAGTAAGTATCTTGAGCACATTCCCTCACACATAAAGAAACAGGTGCTCTGCCAGTGTGATCCTCTTCCCATGCCCTGGAAATCAATCATGACACAGGTCATCATATGGAAAGTCATCACTTATGGAAGAATACTAGGGAACTCTGTTCAAACACTCATCTCTACATTCCAAATAGCTATATCTGATCAGATTACTGTCTCTTTTCTGTCTGCTTTCTGGAATCAGAAGGGAAATACTTTTGCCTTGCAGACAAGGGCACCAGTAATGTTGTGAGACCATCAATCATTTTTGAAGGTCCAGTTTGCTCCCTGCTTCCATACATTTTGAGGCCTTTTACTGTACTGATGGCCAAGAGAAAGGAGACATTTGACTTTTCCCAAAGGGATTTAAAGTGCCAGTGATGTGTACATAGGAAGAGTGGAAGTGGTGTTGGGATGTGGAAGTGGTGTTGCCGTATCTCAAGACATCATTATGTGCTCCATGTATTGTCTGCTCCATTTTACCCAACATCAGTGGAACACAAAGAGGAGTCCTGGAGGATATGCCTGGTAAGTGGACATGAAGGACTTGGAAGATTAGAGCTGTCTTGAACAATGCACTTCAAAATGTCCAACACGATCACTGCAGTGAAGTGCATTGTGTTTCATTGAAGTTCCAGGGGAGAGTAGCTGGGTAATAAATAGGTTGCGACACCAAAAATATTAAGTGGAACAGGTACTTCCTGGTAACAGTTCTTGATGGCTTGTCTTTCTATGTGCCAAAATGAGTAATCTGAAAGAATACAAATTATGAGAAAAGTCCTTTGTCCACAAAAACAATAAGAAAGATAAAATGTGAGAGTAGGGTAACCACGTTGGAATAATTTTTAAGTATTCACAGATGTTGTTGTGTTTTAACTCCAGCTGGCAGCTGAGCCCCGCAGAGCCAATCACTCACTCACCTCTCTCATCCAAAGGATGGGGACATAATTGCAAGAATGAAAGTGAGAAAACTCATGGATTGAGATGAAGTAATTAGGGGAGGAGAAAGCTTCACACAAGCAAAACTAAATAAGGAAGTCAATCACCACTTTCCATTGCCAGGCAGGTATTCAGCCATCTCCAGGACAGCAGGGCCCATCATATGCAAGTGCGACTCGGAAAGACAAATGCCATCAGTCTCCGAATGTTCCCATCCTTCCTTCCTCTCCCCACAACTTTATACACAGTCCATGACACCATGTGGCGTGGGACATCTAACTTTGGTCAGGTGGAGTCAGTTGTCCCAGTTGTGTCACCTCCCAGACTCTTGGGGCACCAGCCTCCTTGCTGGTGGGGTGGGTGAGAGGCAGAAAAGGCCTTTGCTCTGAGTAAGCCCTGCTCCGCAATAACAAAAGCATTCTATATCATCAACACTGTTTCCAGCTCAAATCCAAAATACAGCATCATACCATCTACTGTCAAGAAAATTAACTCCATCCCAGTCAAAACCAGCACTAATGCCTGTGAAAAATATACTTCCTGTCTGTGTAAACAAATATTTTGAGAATGTTTCAGACATGATTTGACTGACAATTGCCATGAGTAGTAGTATTTGTATGCTCAGTATTTTGTAGGACTTCAGCATGTTTGCATAAAGTGCAAAATGCTGGAAACTGAAGACAGTACTTTCACTTGCTTCAGCCTAGACTTTTCATTGTGGTGGAAGATACTAAGATTATGAAACGAAAAGCATGCCATACATAGCAAAAAACGTATTAAAACAAACTATATGCCTCACTGTAACTTAAAGGCTCCTGTAGATGAATTCTCAGGTATATTAATTCTCCTGGTAATCATGAACCAGTCTCCAAAAAAATGTCTAAATAGAAATATTATAAGGTAGTAAAGATTTTATAAACTTAAGGAAATTATTTTTTCCTGTGTGTATGGAAGTTTCTCTTGGACATGAATTGCAAAGGTAAATTGCAGCCAAAACTAGGGCTATTCTACCCCAAAAGTGTTCTCATTTTAATAAGGTCATTATCAATGCCATTGTTCCAGAACTCTTTGCTCACATGTTGCATACAGGTAGGGTGTGATCAGGAATTCTTTTGGATAGGCACTATCTCTGCTTGCTTGCCTTCTTTTAAAGGGTGAGCATAGCCCAGTCTTCCTTGAAACCTCTGGACACCACTTATCAACAATATTATTTTCCTAGAAGAGTTTGTTTTTACCATCCATTTTGACTTCTTTTCACCTGCATTAATGTGGCCTGGGGTCCCAGGGGTCCGTCCAACCCCGGGCAGCCGTAGGTGTCCCGGATAGCACTGGGCTGATAAGCACAACCTGTCCAGGTCCCTTAGGCAAGCTTCCCAGCCATGGGCAATCATAGTGAGCAGCTCTTAAGTGAGATCAGCTCTTTGGTGAATTCAGCTCTTAGTGATTTCAGCTCTTTGCTCACTAAGGGCCTCAGCAGATGCTGAGGAGAGGAGAAGGCTGTATGCAGTTCCATAGTGGTGTCTTTATTGGCAGCTCCTGTGAAGGGGTGCAGCGACAGCTCTTCTGCTGAACTGGGCAGAAATGGGGGCTTATATAGGGTTCAGGGGTGTTGGAAATTGTCCAATGGTTAGGGTCGAGGTGAATATGACCTATGGTCTTACAGAGAGATAATGAGGGTCCGAATGTGGAAGAGGGGCTTCTTGGTCCAGTCATCATGACTAGGAATTTCTTATCTTAGGCAAGTGACCGCCAGGGAGGCCTTGCAGGGCCTCTGACTGCTACACTGCATGAGGAAGAGGAGCTGGGAATTAATATGAACATACCCAATGCCATTCTGCAGAGCTAGGCCAGTCTGACTGTGCTGACTCAGGTCGCCTGTTTGGGAAGGTGTGTGCACTGTGAAGGCCCCAAAACACTCATCCATGTGCTGCACATTGGGATTTACTGCACAGGTTTCATTGTAGGCACACACACAGGTTGTGGCAATTGGGAGTGGGGCTGCAGCCCAGCCTCATCCCCAGTGGGCACAGCTGTGAGAAGCAGGTGAGCAGCACTGACAGCAATGAGCCATGGAGGGC